ACTAAGAAAGAACTGTAAAAGATATTTTTAGCAAATGCACTATGAAAGCCCACACTTAATAAAGTATTAACAAAATTGAACCTCTTCCAGCGTATCTTGTCCAGTCAGAGGCAGTCCAAGAAGATATCTTCCTTGTCGAGCAAAACTAGCGAGAAGGGATAAATTTGTCTGGGTTGCATCACGATCCTTAAAATGTTCTGTGCTAGTGAGATCCTTAATGATATTTGTAAAGATGCTGTTATCTTCTACAACTCCAACAAAGTAAAGTTCCAATAGAAGGTTTAGTGTGCTCCGCTTCTTCATGGCCTTCGAATTTTTGTCTCCATCTAAGTCCTCAGTGGACTTTCCAGGTAAGAAAATTTTCGAGAGGCCTTGAACCAGACTAGATGAGAAGTCTTTGTACCTTTGATGAAGTAAAGAGCAGATCTGATACAGGAAAAAATCTATTAAAAATAATGGAAAAGGGATCTTAAAATACAGTGGAGAGCAAGAGCATGTAATACACATGGTATATAACAATAGAACGTCCAGTAAATAAAAGGTACGTTTCTCTCTCTCTTGGCAAGCAAAGATTTCATTTACTTTGTGCCGACTGCGCCAATAACATCAAAGTAGATTCTAACTGCTCTGTCAAAACCACACAATGGAAAGTATTCAATGGAAACCCAGAAGTTTCTGCTCTTAGTTCGTTTCTTTGTGTGCCCCCAACCCACAAGTGCTTCCTTGATATAAGTTAAAACTTTTCAGATTCACCTGTGTGCTGTGTCCTCTAACTATATGCATATAATTTCAGATTTCTGAGCAAGAAAATTAAGGTTAACAACATCAATTATGTCGATACGCCTTATGGATAGCTTGCCTTTAGCAGACCGCACCAGTAAATAATCTGTAGGTGATCAAGAACTCTTTTTGATAGAAAATTCTGAAGAATTGAACACTCAAACTCAAGTCACCTAAAACTACAGAAAACTTCAATCATAAACCAACAAACCTAAGCCCACATTCAGTCAAAACAATAAAATCCTAATTATCCAATAGCCTCAGCCTGAACCCTTATATGTTTGTATTCTCCAAACAGCAAAATACACAATTTTGTGGGAAGTAAACCCACAAAACGATAGATCACAGAACTAACACATCCAATTACACCGCATAAAAGCCAAGAATTAACGTAGACCTATAAAACATCAATTTCATAAATGTAATACCTTGAGCAGCACCCATCTCTTTCTCTACCTTGGCCTGCATTTCTCGAAGCACGCCAGCTTCTTCTTCAATCTCCTGCAAACTCACTCGATTCTGGACAAAATTGTAGGTGACCCATGGTGTTACTGGATGCGCTTGATTGAGAGGATTGGAGTGGTGGTGGTCCGCGATCGAGACGGTGGCTGACGGCGGTGGAAACATGGCGAAAACCGTGACTGGTAGTGCGATTTTTGGGTGGTGATTGGGGCTGTTTTCAGCAATTCCGTGGCCAGGTGATGACAAAAGGTTGAAGATGGAGGTGAGGGGGTTCGAATGGTAATAGGTTCTGGTGGTCTAGGTGGTGGATGGTGGTCGATTGTTGAGGAAGAAGCGGCGATTCCATGGTTCTCTCACGCACAGTGGTGGAAATAGAGAAAAGTGCCGTTTTCCGCGTTTTTGTGTTTTCAAGGGTTTTGGCTTGAAAATGGTGAAAACGACAAAAACCACGTTTTGTGTTTTTAGGCTAATTTTTTTTCTTGTTTTCAAAAACGGATTTTCGAAAATGGAAAAGAGAACGCGTTTTCGCTGTTTTGGAAAATCGAAAACAGAAAACGGCCTGAAAACGGCAAAGAGAACATGCCCTAAGTATCTCAATAACTAAAGGAATCGACATTGAATTTTCTTACTGCGTCAAATAACTTAAATTCATCACGAATTTGCTACTTAATACTCAACACTATGGGAATCAACAACGAACTTTATTACCAAGAAATCTATAGTTGATATTCTTTGACGACAGATTCTTGATGCTTTACCACGCCATTCTTGAGATCTGAGAACAACTTATAAGTTATAGCTTCTTGATTAAGTTTCTTACAACAATTATTTCTTTTGGGATCAAAAGCTAATCAATGCTTTATGACTAGATTTCTTCGGTGCATCAAGTTTTACAACTTTCTTTATCCCTAGCTTTATGATAAACATATAAAAGTATTATACACACATTGCCTTCAACATAGCGAATAACACAGGAAGAGAAGAATGTCTGAACTGCCGGAGGATGTGTGGAGAAGAATAATGCAAATCGGAGTTGAAAATTCAGTTCTGGATTTCAAAGATTTATGCCGGCTTTCACTCACCTGCAAATGCCGTTATAAACTCTCCGGTGAAGATGCTCTTTGGTCATCACTGCTCTATCAAGATTTTCATGATGAAGAAGATGGTGCCATTGCTAGTAAAAAAGGCGTTTACAAACATAGGTATTTAAAACCACCACCACCATTAATTGTTGACGCTATCTCAAGGGAATATTATTTTATTCCATTTGTAAGGGAGTAACGGAAAAATATTCGTATAATCAATTTCAAATTTATAATTTATTGAAAATAAGTCTTAGTTTATTTATTTTTGTACGGATCTCATGTGTACAAGTTCTTTTGCCTTTTAGTTAAAGGAAGATGGAAATGAATTTTGCAGTTTATTGTTGTATTATTTTGTTCATTACGGTTCTTTGTTGTTGTAAAATGCTTCATGCCTTATCTTTTCGATTATTCACCATCTAGATGGCACTATTTTAGAGTCAATCAGGTCTCACAGTGTGAGACAAAATAGAAAGAATATTCAGCACGAAAATTTTGGATGTTTCGCTACCAGGGGCGGAGTTAGGATAAAAGAGTCGTTGATGTAGTTTTCAGAAAATTTTAATTGTGAGGGCAAAAATTGAAAGTTATAAAGAATTTATTTTTTTTTTGAAAAATTTTAAAAAAATTATGGGCAAAATTTGAAATTTAGTGAGAGGCAACTAACCCTACCACTCACACACTTAGGGATGGCAAAAAAGTTTGTCCGTTCGG